GCAGGCGCCAGCGGCCGGAGCTGTTTTGCCGCGCCATCCTGCTGTCGAAGCACAGCAGCAGCCACACCACTCAACTGCCGGACTTGCTACACAGCCCCATGGCTACTTTGGTGCCTCCCCAGCCTTGGAGCAGGTCCTTTCTCTCCCTCCTCTGCCACCACACTTGACGCATGCACCTGTGTACGCGTCTAATGGAGCCCTAGCCCATGTGCCATTGGGCCCAATGCACACCTCTATCCAGGTGGACCTTAACTCACGGGTTGATCAGCTCACACAAAGGGTCGACGATCAAAACAACCTGATTGGCCAGCTACTCAGGCAGATCAACTTGAACCAAGGCCCTAACCTTGGACCCCATGACGAGGAGAGGAGGACGCATGAGCATGTCAGCGAGCAGTTCGAGAGGTCCCAAGCCGGTCAGGCAAGGGCAAACGGGCAGGAGAGAGAACGAGATCGTGCTGGCGAGACACAAACATCTGCAAGTCGTACTCTGAGCCGGTCGACGATCCGTTCGAGGTTAGGTCCAAGGACCAATGTACGTGAAAGGCTGGGCCCACAGTCCAATGTCCATGCTCGCTTGGGCCCACAGTCCAATGTCCACGCCCGCTTGGGCCCATAAGGAAGTAACCAATCCAGGCTGGGCTCACAAGGAGCTCGAGTTTGTGAACAATCGCGTGACGAGCGCAACAATCGACGCTCACCAGCCCGCTCGAGGACCAACACACGGCAACAAGCCGTAGAGGACTCCTCACAAGCTCAATCTCCTAATCTGCCCCACGGGCAAAACAACCAAGAGGATCGACCCTTGGGAACCGAGGAGGAAGTTAACCAGCGGCGCTCGAGATACCGAAGACATCGACCCGAACCACTAGACCTGCGGGCAGAAGATGTCGAAAAGTTAGTGATGAATGACCGACTCCAAAGTCTCCAACTTAAAGGAAGCACGGACGAGGCCCTGCACAAGGAAATTGCTCAAGTCGACTGCTCACCCTTTACAGACGAGGTGGAACGAGCTGCACCGTCGAAACGGTTCACAACGCCATCCATCACTCCGTTTAAGGGAGACTCTGATCCTGAGAGCCATTTGAGGCACTTTAAGAGTGCCATGATCCTGTACAAAGCAGACGACGCCCTGATGTGCAAAGTGTTTGCGATGACTTTGCGAGGAGCAATCAAAATTATAAGAAACTAAGCAAAAGAAGTAAGTAAATTGGGCATGTATATGTATGAAATTATGAGCTTAACAGTACACCTCCTACAAGACGGTCAGAAAGCATGCAGACCACTTGTTCAACCTGCACAAGAAACCAGACGAGTCTCTTCGAGACTACCTCAGACGATTCAAGGCTGAGAAGGCAAACATCATAGGATGCAATGACCAAGTTGCATCCTCAGCTTTCAAAAAAGGCTTGCCAACCGAACATGAGCTATACCATGAGCTGGCCATAACTCCAAGCCAAACCTTGGCAGAGGTCTTCGCGACGGCAGAGCGCTACGCACTTTGGGACGAAAATCGTATTGCGGCGAAGAAAGCCGGCAAGCAAGCTGATCACCCGACAAGGCAGGCAAGCCAAAAAAGCAACAAGTTCGAGCTCAAAGCCCGACACAAGCGCAGATCGCGGCCCCAAGAGGGAGGCTCAGAAGCAGGAACCTACACTGAGTTTACCATCCCGATCCATCAAATTCTAGCACAAGTGAAGGACAAGCCGTGGGTGAGGAGACCGCCGCCCCTGAGGGGAGACCCGTCTAGGAGGGACACCAGTAAATACTGCGCATTCCACGGAGAGCATGGTCATTACACCAACAACTGCAATGCTTGAAAAAGGCACCTCAAGGAGCTGGTCAGGGAAGGTCATTGCACGGAATTCGTCGCAAAGAAGGCCATCTAGCAGATCGAGGATCGTGATGCGACTGCCAAGGAACCTCCCGAAAAGGTCATACGGATCAACACCATTCTAGCTGATTCCCAGGAGTCTGGGCTGACCACCAAGGAGCGCAAGAGAAAGATCGCGCAGGCGACTTTTGTCTCCCACGTCACAACGGGCGTACCAGTCATTGCAGATACACCCATCATCGGCTTTCAGAAGAAGGACTTGATCGGGCTTGATCTGACGCACAATGACGCCCTAGTAATCTGCATCCAAATTGAACAAGCTGTGATCGAGCGAGTTCACGTGGACGAGGGCAGCGCAGCCAACATCCTGCAACTATCTGTTTTGCAACAGATGGGATTGGAGCCCAAGATCAACAAACTTGCTAGGTCACTCACCGACTTCAATGGGGCCTCATCGATCACTGTGGGAACGATTGACCTTGACATCCACTCACCCCCGGTGGTCTGCTCGCAAACCTTTATGGTCATTGACGAGATCTCCCCCTACAACGGAATCTTAGGCCGACCGTGGATCAACAAGATCGAAGCCATCACATCTGCTCTACACCAGAAGATCCGCTACCCCATCATTGGTGGCGGGATCGGGCAGATCAACAGTGACCAAGCCATGGCAAGGAGATGCACAGCCCAAGGGCTCAAGAAGAGCAAACAGCTACAGTTCACACCAGTAATGCAGGCTACTGACGAGGCAGGAAACACTCCCAGCAGACAAGCAAGCCCGAACGAGAAGGAAGCTGCTACCTCAAAATAGCAATTAAGGAGCCAGGATCAAGGCGAGGGAATCCGCCCGGAAGACTCCCCTGAAAAGGGTTGGAA